CGAATCACCCACAGTAACATTGGTTCTGTATTGTATGCGGTGGGTGACCATGAAGGTGCTTTGGTAAAGCACAAGGAATGTCTTGCCAATTCTATTGCCACAATCAAGAATCATCCTGAGGTGGCAACAGCCCAGAACAACATTGGGCTGGTCCTGGAGGAGATGGGTGACTATAAAGGTGCTTTGGGAAACCACAAGGAAGCTCTTTCCATTCGATTGTCAGCATTGGGCAAGAATCATCCGGATGTGGCAACCACCTACCACAACATTGGTTCTGTGTTGGATGAGATGGGTGACTGTGAAGGTGCTTTGGCAAAGTATGAGGAATGTCTTGCCATTATGTTGTCAGTACTTGGCAAGAATCATCCTGATGTGGCCACCACGTACCACGTATATGGGTTCTGTGTTGGAAGAGATGGGTGACTGTGAAGGTGCCTTGGCAAAGTACAAAGAATCCCTTTCCATTGACTTGTCCGTATTGGGCAAGAATCATACCTCAGTTGCAACCACCTACAGCAACATTGGTTCCGTACTTCCAGCCATGGGTGACTATGAAGGTGCTTTGGCAAAGTACGAGGAAGCTCTTGCCATTGAGTTGTATATTGGTTCTGTGTTGGAAGAGATGGGTGACTGTGAAGGTGCTTTGGCAAAGTACAAAGAATCCCTTTCCATTGACTTGTCCGTATTGGGCAAGAATCATAACTCAAGTTGCAACCACCTACAAGGGCAACATTGTTCGTACTGTTCCAAGCATGGGTGACTATGAAGGTGCTTTGGCAAAGTACGAGGAAGCTCTTGCCATTCGATTGTCAGTATTGGGCAAGAATCATCCTGATGTGGCGACCACGTATAACAACATTGGGCTTGTTCGGCGTAAAATGGATGACTATGAAGGTGCTTTGGCAGAGTATGAGGAAGCTCTTGCCATTCAATTGTCAGTATTGGGCAATAATCATCCTGATTTATGCGACCACGTGCAACAACCTTGGGCTTGTTCGGCGTAAATTGCGTGATTATAAAAGTGCTTTGGCATGGTATGAGGAAGCTCTGGCCACCAGATTGTCAGCGTTGGGGAAGAATCATCCTGACGTGGGAGTCACCTATTACAACATTGGCTTTGTTCTGGAGGAGCTGGGTGACTATGAAGGTGCTTTGGCAAAGTATGGGGAATGCCTTGCCATTAAATCGTCAGCGTTGGGCAAGAGTCACCCTGAGGTGGCAACCAGTTACAAAAGAATTGGCTTTGTTTTGTACGCGATGGGTGACTATTCCGGAGCCTTGTTGAAATTTGAGGAGTGCCTTGCCATTCGGGAGCCAGCTTTGGGATCAGAGCATCCTGACACCTTGGCCTGCCGGGAATGGATTGAAAGAGCTATTGCATTTAACAAGTGCAAAAGGCAGACTCAGCAAACGCAGCAACCTAGTTTATGCTGTGTTAAATGTTTGATGCACTTTCACCTGGTATAGCAGCAGCAGCAGTCTAATGATGTCCCATATTTCAAGCCTGGTTTCCCCCCACTTTCCTCTAATCTCTATATATTGCCCCTCCCTGTCTTCCCTCTGATCCTCGTTTCACCCATCTAGCTAGTAACCCCCCCATCTTCCCTCCTGCCCTGCCGCCTCCCCACCATTTCCCACCACCCTACTCTGCCCAGCTTAAGTAGCCCCATTTGCTCATTAACCCTTTAACCTCGGCAGTCTTGCTGCCAGAGCCCTCAACCCCTTTAATTGTTTTTCCTGCTACGGTGGTCCCTGCAGGTATAAGGGTAGGGTTAGAATACAAATAAGTCAGCAAAAACTAAATAAGTATCCTAACTAGGATGGCTATTTACATCCATCCTAGTAGGGGGATCTGCTTCTACCAGGAAAAACTCTAAAGCCAGCGAAAGCTATAACTAGTATTCTAGCTAGCTAGGGGTGTCTGCTTCTAGCTTGCTATGGGAATCTGCTTCTAGCTAGGGGGGATTAGCTTCTAGCTAGCTAAGCAAAAGTTAAGCACTAGCTAAGCACTACAGATATCTGCTTCTAGTTAGCTAGCTATAGGGGTATCTGCTTCTACACTGAAACCTTCTGCCGAGGTTACACAGCTCCACTGGCTTATTTAGTCATTTACCTCGGCTGGCTAACTGCCTGAGTTCTCTACCCATTTACCCGGCAGTCTATCGGCCTGGACCTCTGTGGAACCGTCATTCCTGGCAAAATACTTAGGAAACGCTACACCAAGGCATAGGAGACGATCAAAATGATTTAAGAGACGAAAGCAATCGCCTCCTATATTTAGGAGACGATTCCATAGGAGACAATCCAATTAGGAGACAATCGTTTTGAAATAGAAGACGATCAGAAAGATTTAGGAGACGATACCATACAGTTTACATGGTACAATTAGGAGACGATCCGTTGAGAATAGGAGACGATCCGTTGAAAGCAGGAGACGATTTAAGAGACGTTGAAAGATTTAGGAGACGAAACGTATTGTCTCCTATTTATAGGAGACGATTGCTTTAATTAGGAGACAATCAAAAGGATTTAAGAGACGACCGTTAGCACGATTCGAATTTCCACAGAGGTCCTGAGCCCTCACAACATTTTTCGGTATTTCCTATTTCCTATTCTGGTGAAGCCAAAATATAGGGATAGAGATAGGCATAAGCCAACCAAACTGGCAATTGAAGGTTCAAATGAGTTTAGAGGTAGGATTATATCAATATTATTTAAGATTAGTGCACTCAGCACAAAAGCATGTTAAGCCAGCTCTTGCTGTAAAGACTAGAGTTACAAATGGAATGACAGATGTAAACTATGGGTTAGCTGGCGGCAACACACGACAAAGTCGGGTGTTGTCGCCAAGACTAGCTTAATAAAACAGAAGATTTTAATGAGAGAATGATAGTAGGCGGCAACACACGACGAAGTCGGGTGTTGTCGCCAGGGCTAGCTTGAAAGAAGGGTGTAATCTCAAACATGATCCTCCTTCCTCTATCTGTCTTTCTGCCGAGGTATCACAGCTCCCGCTGACTTAATTGATATTTCCTATTTCGAAGCCAAAGTATTGAGGATAGAGATAGTCTAAGCCAACAAAACTGAACATTGATGGTTCACTAAAAGTTAGGGTAGGAATAAATCATTAATATTTAAGGTTAGTGCACTCAGCACAAAAGCACAATAAGCCAGCAGGAGCTGTAAAGGTTAGAGTTACAATAAGGGAATGACAGCTGGTAAACTATGGATTAGCGGGCGGCAACACACGACGGCCGCCAGGGCTACCTTAATAAAAAAGAAGGTCATTGAAGGAATGATACCGGGCGGCAACACACGACGGAGTCGGGTGTTGCCGCCAGGGCTAGCTTGAAGGAATGGTGCAATATCAAACATGATCCTCCTTCTTCTATCTGTCTTTCTGCCGAGGTATCGCAGCTCCCGCTGACTTTATTTGTTAACCACTTCATCACATTTGACTTTCTCCCCATTTGTCTCAGCTGTAGCTACTGATGAGTTATCTGAGTAGAGAAAGTATAATATATGGTCTGTTGGACGAAATTAGCATCAAAAAATATTGCTGGGGTTAATTGGTGTCTTAAAGCCATAACAAGACTGATGGCAATCATATGACCAGAGGTGAAGAAGCAAGAAACTGTGCTTGAATTAGAAGGCACCATGAGCATGGGCAACTTCCAAGTCACCCATAGCAATCACATCAAAGACGCACATGTCTTTCATCTTCATATCCTTGTGGTGGTCACAGGCCTTCTCAGCGGCATCGTTCGAAATGGTCACACCAAGCGACGGCGGCCCTTGGTCGTGGCAGGAGGGACACATACCTTGCCAAGAAACTGGGATGAAGTCTGAAACAGCTGGGGCTTACTGGCCAACACCTGCCATTCCTGACTAAACAAGTTGTGGTCCTCAATAACCGTAGTTCCATCCCTTGCAAGTAGAGCTCCATCACCAAACTTGCCCATCAATCCAACACTGGTGCCAAAATTGGCTGAGCTACCATTTTCAATCATCACAGTCACCATGTCCTTAAAGGTGGAAAGCTTGATGGGCTCACTCTCACCAATCTTGATTGTGAAGGTGTGTTCCTTGTCACTCTTCTGCTCATGATCAACCAAAAACTGACCACCCATCTCAGCAGGCATGTCAACCTTGGAAACCCTATCCATCATGTACTCTCCAAAGCTGGAAACTTCCAAAATATCTTCGCCAATCTGGAGAGCAGCACTTTCAATGTAGGCATACTGGTACCGATCTTTTGTACGAATGTGGATCGTCAGCCAGCCCAAATCCATTGGCAAAGTTTTCATCGTGAAGAAGCACCAAGTCACAGATGCCATGGAAGTCATACCATGTGCTATTCCAGGTCTATTGATTGGCAGAGAGTAACCCCATGAAGTAGACGGTAGAAGTTGCACAAGATTAGAAAACAGAAGAGAACCAGATAAAGAGTTGATATGATGTACAACACAGGTGCATACCTTAAAATGAGGGTCTCCACCAGCACTTGTTGAAATAGGAACAGGATCAGTGGCTGGAATGTCAGTAGTACCCTCAGTGGAAGATTCAGTGGGTCCCGCTGTTGGACTGCCGGTTGGAGAAGTGGTTGGTCCAGCTGTAGGACTGGTAGTAGGTTCAGCAGTTGGAGAGTAGGATGGATAAGCAGTGGGGCTTGTTGTAGGTTCAGCAGTTGGAGAGTAGGAGGGATAAGAGGTGGGGCTTGGTGTAGGTGCGCCAGTGTCATCAGGGCACCATGATGCAAATCTCTCATCACAGTTATTTTGTGTTGAGGAAATACACTGTACATCTGTGCCTACGCAGCTTCCTGGGGTGCAAAGGTCACAGCTTGAATCTACTATTCCAGCAGCAATATAGCAGCATTCTCCAGAAGCCTGTGCCTGCCCAACTACAAACGACAATATCATTATGGTGGGGTACAAGAAAGGCTTCATGGCTGCTGGGTCTCAATTAATTTAAAATGTGCTTCTGTCTGCAATGAAACGATGTGCAAGAAATGTGGTTGATGTTGATGTGGTTGTCGATGTTGTTGTCGATGCTGTTGTTTGGCCTTGGATAGATGGCAGTTATGAGTACGAAGACGATCATGACGATATCCTCTTTTTAGCTTGCCATGAAGCACATGATCCATCGAACCACCTGTGTCGGTGTTAACTGTGATGTTGTGATCAAGCTCCCTTGGCGACTGCTCCGACGAACCAAGACTCAAAATAGCAGGTCCGGTTTGATGACGACGTAGCCGGGGTAAATCTACTTTGCAAATTTATCGAAAACCCTTAACAGATTAAACTAGCTACCGGTACCCTTTATTTCGGTTGTTGTGACTGTGCATGCTGTTCTCTTGGAAGCGTCCGTGGTGCGTGGCTACGTTAATGCTCGGCTCAGCCTAGCTATTCTTCGGGCCCGCCACCTCTGCATGCGTGGCTCTCGTGTCCCTG